GTACATGTAGTCATTTTATTAATGGTGACTGACACTTTAGAAATAAAAGTAGACCTCTAAAACTTGGCTTGATTGTATCACACCCTAACCATTTTACTGCTGAGAAACTGCACTCAATTGCATAATATAGTATTTGTCAGTTGTACCATGGTAGATATCATGTTTGGTTACTAAGGCCATGAGTACAGCAACTCGACTTATACTTGTCAGTCATGTGGTAAATGAATAATACACTTTAACAATTTCCTGATTCCTCTGTCGAGTGGTAAATGAGATACAGCATATTTTATATTTGTTTCTATCGATCAGTACAGGGTGAAACTCCATTTGCCTCTTGAAAGTTTAGGATACCGTTCATGATTAATTCGTTTCAATCCTTGCATCGATACTACAACAACTGTCATGTGTAGCTACCATATTTATTCTTATTTAAATGACCTGTTAAATTATGAATTGGTATATATGTCATTAAAATTTCACTAAAACAAAATTTCATTAGCTCACATACACCTCTTTTAGAGTTGAGCTTCTAATGGAGAAAATATGGTAATTGCAGTGCTTCTCATAGTAGTTTTACTGAACGTATAATATTTCTTCCCACAAAATATTAATGAGCTTCATCTCAAATCACAAGCATACTAAAAAACCGAGTGACATAATGGTGTATTTTGGAATAATTTTTTTTTTTTTTTTTTTATGGCTGCAAAAGCTAGATTTATTGTGATTGAATTTGTTGCTGTGTAATTGGCAGCACATTGGAGTGGAAAACTCAGTGAAAATAGTAAATATTTTATGAAGAAAATGAGCTGAAACCTCTTTCAAATAAAAAACTTCAATTCTCTATTTTAAAGCAAATATTTTTGTTTGCCTTTTTGATTTGTTCATTTGGTTCTGAATTTTTTAATTTGAGACAAAAATGTTCTCGTCTTACAAAACTGTAAGAAGAGAATGATATAAAAATACAGGGGCTTCAAGAACTAATAAATATATTTCTGCGTTCATTCCTTTAGTGCTTTGAAGGCCACAGTCTACTTTTTTCAATTTTCATTACAAATACAAATATTGAAAAAAAAAATTTAAAAATGTATATAAAGAAAAATCTGTATATAATATTGCACCTAAATGTGGTCAAGAAAATATGATGTTCTACTAAAAGTTATTTTGTTTTTACAAATTTAATATTCAATTCAAATTTGGGAAAGGAAAGCAATTAACATTGTTAAGGTGTTAGAGTAGCGATAATACTGTGTTTGCTTTATGAGTTGCATGTACATGTACATTTAAAATGTAAATGTGTGTCTATTATGGAAATGTCTTATTTTCATAATCCAATATAAAAAAATAAAACTGTTATATGAACTTCTGTTTGACATGGCTCAAATACAGTATAATATATACAAATGTACATGTGCATTTCAAAATCAAAACTTGAATTCTAACCAATCCACCAATCAGATCGTCGGATTCACGATTTATATTCCTTGTATAAATTGAGAGAAGTTAGTTAGAAGATGGCTTTGTCAGCTCATCTTGAAAACAAAAATAAAATTGAATAAATTGTTGCCATTTTAGAAGTAAACTGTACAACATAAAACAAACTAAATTTGAATAAATTGTTGCAAATTGTTGCCATGTTAGAAGCTGGTTATAAAATGACAAGCCATTTATTTATACATGGTTTTAGAGTCGTCATTTTATAACCTATACATAGAACAATCAGATTTGAAAACTGGTAGTCTATAGTAATGATCATAGCTATATACCAGTAGATGTGAATTTAAATAAATAATGGTCAATAATTAACTGCCTCTCATACAGTTTTATAAAATTGTGATTCATGATTGTAGAAAAAAATGCAAATTTTTTGGGTCAATTCCTATTTGTAGTAGTTTTCGAGTAAGGCTACTATTTTTTGAGAAATTCTCATAGAACAATAATTGGCAGTTTGTGTCCTGTTGAGTGTGAAAAAATAAAGTCGTGACCCTACATGTGTGTACACATGTAAAATCATCATAGAGCATACCATAATTTCATGTTTGCTTGCCTCCTCTTTAACCTATGAGGACAGGTTACATTTTATGATCTGGGGGTTAAAGAATCAGTGAAACAACAAGAATCATGGAATTGTTGTTGTTTTAAAGATATTAGTTTGTCTCCAATATATTTCGATTGTGCAGTATGAAATATTTTTATTGCCAAATTTTGTTGTTTTTCCTGCCCAAATTTTTTCCAGTAATATTCGTTACCAAATTATGCTCTAAAGATATACATTTATTATTGTAATCCTTGGGGAATTTTAAGTTCATGAATATTAATTCAATTCATGTATATGTAATTTTAATTGAGCGACCTGCAGATTAATATTATGAGGTTATTACGAGTATACCGCAATGTATGCACAAAGACAGTACAGCGGAAGTATCGGCTGTCGTGCAGTGGTGGTCGATGCGACCGCGTACTGTCTGAGTGCATACTTTGCGATATCCTCATAATAACCTTGCTATTATACATCTTTTCCTCCCAGGAATACATCATGGGAATGCCGAAATCCAAAACGCTTATAACAGATTTAGTGGGGGCTGCCATGTTTGTTTTTATTACTAGAGGATGCTCACTCACGCAATCACTCCATATTTGGAATTTGGATTTTTTTAATATGGTAGGATGAAAATACCCAGTGCAATACTGCAAAATTAGAGCACAGATGTGTAATAAGGTTGATGTAATAATATTTGAGGGAGCTGTAGGTTATAATTGTAGCAATATGTTTTCAAAGGAATACACCTTTATTGGATGTTTTCATTTTTTGTTATGATAATTTTGTTACTTTTTGTGTAAATGGTAGCTTTAGTAGATTTGGTGAGAGTAAACTGTTTTACAAAAGTGATGTCTTATTTTCCACTTCTTCTTGAAAAACGGCTAGCCTGATTGATTTGGTATTTTATATGTAGTCAGATTTGTTAATTTTGTGATTATTGCTTCCATTTTTTAATTAAGCCTTCATTTAACACAAATATGTAATTACTGTAAATCGTCTTAATATCACAAAACGCAATTTTCAACAATTTGGTTAGTCAGAACAAATCTCCAAGTTTTGCACCAGTGAAAATAGGAATTGAACTACAATTACCGGTAATATTTTTTATAAGGAACCAACATCGTTGGAAAGACTGATAATTGTTTTGTATATATTACAGGATTACTTATAGTCTTTGATATTCAATACACAACAGGGATTATGCATTTCAAAATGCTTGTTCAGATGAGATTTTAACTTCTAGTCTCCAAAGATTTGCAAATATATTCATATGCAAATGTACATATTCCCAGTGTCATGCCAACGTAGATACATGTATCTAAAAATAAGATACAGAAAATGTTATAAATCACAGATTATTGCTGAGTGCAAATTTCCATGAAATAAATGACAAAGAGCAAATAGGGGATGATATCCAAACTAGTTTCTATGGAAACAATGACTTTCCGATTCCCACTTACATACACATATAGTGTTAAACCTTTTTCTAGTGCCCATTTAAAATTAGAAATCTGTCAAAATATACATGTACATGTAGCTGAAACTCATAATTTAGTGGATTTCTATGTTGGAAGTGTATTACTGTTAGCCGCATCTGATGGTATCCATGACAACCCTTTTATGATTGTAATTGATTAGTTTGTCAAACACCTATAACAGATTTGGTGTACTAATGACGTAGAATACATGTACCGGTAATTGCAGTTATACCTTGTGATCAATGTTGTAGCTATACGATACTGGCTTTGAGATCTATGTATGGTAGGGTCTAAATATATTCTTCATATTCATTTCATGATGGTATCTTAAAATCTCTAATTTTGATTAATCTCTTACTAGCAATCATGTCTTGGCCGATTTTGTTTAAAGATGATATAAACATTTAATACACATAATGGATACTTGTTTTGTGATATAATTCAAAATGGCCAACTGGTGGCCATGTGAGTCTCATTTTTGTGTCTTAACCATAACCATATATATCTTGACTTTTTTTGACCTATGTAGGTACAGAGACAAGACATAATGGTGTTCATGATATGCACATTTATTTCAACATGTCATGAACTATTTCTCTGATGTACCTGGTCCGGTTTCATTGGCGCGTTACTAAATGTATTTCATACAGATGTACTTTCACAGACAGTTGGTACAAAAAATAGTGTGAATATTTCTTGTGATCAGATTCAGTATCTTTGCAAGTTTCTCTAATATTTCAATGCACTGTATCTTCAATTCTCTATATTTAGTGAATATTAATATTGTTTTTGATTTTTTTAAATCAATAATGACTGACAGCTTGTTATTGCTATTGAATTCTGTATAATGCATGATAGCAGGGCTTTCTTGACTAACAATTACAATCTAACAATCGTTTACTTCTCTGTGTGAAGTGCACAATGGGAGTCTTTGCAATTAGTGCGTCTGTACAAAAAAATGTATGTGTGTACATGTATGTGTGTGTGTCCGTCTGTTTCACTGATATCTCAAGCACTATATGTTGGTTTTTGAAGATACTTTATGTATGCTCTGGGTTAATGCACAGATTTGATTAGGTTTTGGTTAAAACCTTGCATATTAATTACCTAATTTGCATAATATCTAGTCAATTTCTGGCCTTTCCACTGATATTTCATGGTTTTAATCTCAAATAGCAGAAAAATGTTAGTTGCCAGGCTTCTTGTTTGATAGGCTAATGTGTCTCCAATACTCTAAGCACATAGGAGTTCTTTCCTATAGCTTTCTTTGATTTCATTATTCAAAGGTCCTATATATTAGTCTTTGAGTAATGACATTGTATCTTCCCAAGTTTGTTCATTTCATGATTTTGGGTTTGTCCCTGATGAAATACAGGGAAAATTATGTGACAAGATCTGTTACACTTTCAAAGCAAACAAACAAAGGGCAAGGTGAACAGACTTTAACTATGTTCTTTTCTTTCTTTTCTCTTCATTTTTTTCAGACTTGCCACGGATACATGCCCCTTGATTCATACATGCAGTTGGTTGGTCATCAACATCATTAATAATCATACCATAATGCAAAGCGTTGCCTGAAAAATATATTTATTTATAGTAAATGATGTGCTTTATTCATAAAGTATTCATTGCATAATTTGGATGTCAGTTTCTAAAGTGTGCAAGTTTGATTTTTGATCTACATCACAATCTCTAAATCAAACTTGAAGCTCACATTTTTAACGTTATTGCTGTTTATTTAAATGATATACTCATCACTATGGCAACTTAAAATTGAATTAAAAAATGAAAATTCTTAATGAGATCAATGAAAAAGGCAACATTTTGATATTAATGGTGCTTCTTGCTTTTTCGCATTCACAGTAAATCATAGCATGCATTTTGTCCATTGATAACACAGATGTATGTCTTGCTGCCTTGTTTTAATACAAAAACAATTATATTTAGAAAAAATATATATTTCATGTCTTTATTTGCATGGCATTAAAAACAGAAGAACGTCGAGTATGTCTGTGCAGTGAAATGTCCAACACATTCTTGAGAGTTGTGGTAAATTTCTGTCTATGATACTGCATATGAAAGGGCACAGTGAATTTGCTAATTTTCTTTATTGCGGTATGATGTGCGTATAATATGCCTTTGTGGCCGAGTGTGTTGTACATGTACATTATTGCTTGAAATGCGGCAGTGTAACTTAACTAAACGGTAAAAAAGTCTGCAAAATATGGTTTTCCTCAGTCTCAGCATTCAAATCTTATACTGTAAACCATTTACTTTCACTCACATTTAATTTCACCATTTTTCATGTTTTGGGCATATTCACTGTGTTTTAGTTTCACAAATTTGTCAGGAAAACAATGAGATTGATTTTTATTTTACATGTTCTCGTAGATTTAATTTAGCGGCTTTTACTTATCAATGAAAATAACGAAATTATAATTCAGTTAATAATTAATGCATTCACAGTAAATAAACATCATATGTTTATTACCAGCACTTGCATATGAATTTACAACATTGTTATATTTCTAAATGAATGCTGTATTTCTTGATGAAGAACCCTGAATTTCAGATTATGACTTTTTATTTCAGTGATTCGTTTAAAAAGTTTGAATGTGTCACGTTTGTTGAGTATGAGCTGCTCGTTTATGATGAGTGATCGTATGCCTCCATCCCCAGCCTTTCTCCCTTGTTCGTAACTTTTTGGACTCAACCAATATTATTCTGTATATCTGAGCAGCAGCCCTCCCCCGTTCAACATGCACAATCCCTTACACTAACTTGAAATTTATTTCTTTAGTTATGTTCATATACATGTACATGTAATTTTTATTTTATTCATTTCGTCTCTTTTTAATTCCATCAGGAGATTGATCAAGAAGAAGACAATTTTTTAAGGTAAGATAAGATGAAAAGTAGGTACCGGTACATGGCTTTAAAATATCAAGTGGAAATAATTTAGTCAATAAATTTATCCCCAATTTGGATGTTTAATCATGTCCTTACTGTATCAACTATCTCTCCCTCAGAATTTATTGATTGATCTGATAAATAGTATCTTGCCTTTGTTTCTTGAAATGTTAAATCTTTAAAACTGTTTAATTTGTGGTGCTAGTAACCTTTACAATTTGCCAATTTGAAAGGTATTCATTAGAACAAAATGTCATGAAACGTAATATTACTCAGATAGTAAAGTTAAAACATGGGACCCAATGGGGAAAAAGATCAGACATGATTAATTCATTTAAAAAAAATTTCTTTGGATTTTTTGAAATACTGAAACAATGTGTCTAACTAATACAAAACAAATAAAAAGAAGGGCTATGAATCTATTTGTAAAGATATGGCAGTTTTTGTAGTTTGTCCTATGTTAATACATTGTCTATATAACATGCTCTCACATGAGAATTCCTGCATGCGACTTTCAAAATTGAGTGGCAGTGAACATTTTTTTTTTTATCGTGCAGATATAGTAATACAGTGTACTGATGCAAAAATGTACGTTATTAATGCTTGGTTTTTAATTATTTTTTGTAGAACACCATTACAGGGCCAATTAAATAAATATACAAATGTTATGAAAGGCTGGCAACATAGGTGGTTTGTATTGGATCCTGAGTCTGGGGTATTGGAGTATTACGTGGTGAGTTTTGGCATCATTCCTTACCTTGGATGAGTTTTTTTCCTATGGTAGTTTTAATGGTTATGGTAGTTTTTTTTTTAAGCTCAATCTCAATGTGAACATTTGATTGATAATAATCATGTCTGTTTGATTCATGCTACATGTACATGTATGTGATAAAATCATTGCCAAAAAATAATAAAATTATACGTTAATTTCAGAATCATGAAGAAAACAAAAAACACAGAGCTAGAGGTTCTGTTCATTTGGGGGTAAGTCACACTGTCTATAATAAACTGTTCTGTGTTGACCTTTTCACCATCCTCTTGTTAATCACAAATTCACAAAATAGTTATAGTCTGCACTTTCCTTCAGAAGATTTGGACAAAAATAGACAAATTACTTTGAATGAAAAATTAAAATTGATTGAAATTTTGTCTGCTAGCTCCAAAATTAGTGTTCATTCCAGAAATATTGAAGAATGTAAGGAAAAAGTGCAGAAAAATTACTACATGTATACACATGCTCATACTCATTACCTATAAGTTTATTTTTTTCTAGTGCTGCTGTCAATTTTGTTGAGCTGAGCTTATCATATAATTGACATTGATTGTCCGTCAACTTTTTACTTTTTCAACTTCTTCTTGTAAACAACAATTTTTATTGCTTTGATAATTGGTGTACCGGTAAATGTGCCTTGGGCCTTTTCTGTTCATTTCGTGACGATATCTTTAATCTTCTAATTTTGATAAATAGTTTTGTTGATAAATGACATTTTTGACTTCTTGTTGAAAACAGCAAGTCTGATTGCTTTGATACTATACATATAGGTACCTCAGGTAGACCTCACTCAGATCTTTTCATTTCTAACAGCGGAGCTATTTCAGCCGAGAGGCTGCTTATCTAAATACTTGTTTCATTTGTCAGGGTGCTGTCATATCTCCCAGTGATGAGGACTCGCAGACATTCTCTGTGAATGCAGCTAATGGTGAAATATATCGACTGAGGGCTTCCGATGCAAAGGAGAGACAACACTGGGTGAACAAATTGAGAGCAGTTACCCAGTACCATACAGAACGCATGGCACAGGTAAACCACATCATACCCAGTATACTGCACTATAGTGTTCAGTGATCTTAATTCATTTTATATTGTATTCTATTGTTTTTTTGTCATGTTCAAAATGATTTTCAGTTTTTTGCAAATGTCGTACTGAATAACCAAAGGAATTATTCGTTCAAGATTGACTTTGTACTATTCAGACTTGGTTCTAACTTTTTTTTTATCTTCACTAGACTACATCCAGATTGCAACCAACTCGCCCCGCTAGTTCCTACAATGATGTTGGGCCATTAGTCACCGCACCCGTAGACACGAGAAGACACAGTTCTGGAAGCTTGGGAAGCAAGCCATCACCAGCTGGAACTCCGGTACAAAGAAGGCGATCAAAACACAAATCTTCGCATTCATTACAGAGGGACGATCCGTTCAAGAATGTTAAAGAGGCGTTGAATAATATGGATGAATTACAAAGAGGATTAGCTGAGAATATTGAAGTATGTGCTTTATTTTGATTTGCAACTATTAATTTAAGAACAAATCGTGGGTCATCATATTTATACATGTACCAATGTGATATCATATTTTAAAGTCAGTATACATTTCTACAACCATGCAACTGTTTGCTTACACAACATGACATTTTAAAATGTTTAATTATTTTAGTGTTGTGAGTATTGGGCACTAAAAACTTTGTGAAGTACATTGCAATCAGCAAGGTGACATGATGTAATTGTCGTTCAGATACAGCACAACTTGCTATATACAAAATTAAACTATTCTTGTTATAAAATTACCTTATTTTTGTTCATTTTATTTGCTGGTAAGAGAACAGATTCAGATTCCTTATTTCGGTGTTATTTTTTTGTGTTTGTTTAGTTTTAGCCGAATTCAATCCCATGACCGCACTACTAATACATGCAAAACACACGTACGCCACTTGGTGCCTCTGCGTTGTCGACAGTCATCTCGATACAAAGTTCTAAAATAAGTGCGTACATTTCTAAATATGATTAGATGGTTGTGGTGGCGTCGGTCTGGTAAAATTTGACATCCAATTTTCAAAATAAAGTCAGTTCGATGAAGCGATACTGATGCCACATTGTAGCCATAATGAAGCCACAATGAAGCGTAGCGATAACTTTTTAATGTCGCATCATTGATGTGATGATGAAGCCATACCAGTGCCATAATGATGCGATGCTGACACAAAGCTGATGCTGAACCGAAGCCAAAGCTTTCGCGAGAACTGTACTGTACCTGTGAATAACGATCACCCAAGATTACAGTTAAACCTGTGTATAATGACCATCCATGGTTTCAGTCAAACCTGTATATAACGACCACCCATGGTTTCAGTCAAACCTGTGTATAACTACCACCCAAGGTTTCAGTCAAACCTGTGTATAACAACCACCCAAGGTTTCAGTCAAACTTGTGTATAACGACCACCCAAGTTTTCAGTCAAACCTGTGGAAAATGACCACCCTAAGGTTTCAGTCAAACCTGTGTATAACAACCACCCAAAGTTTCTATCAAATCTGTGTATAACAACCACCCAAGGTTTAGATCACACCTGTGTATAACAACCACCCAAGGTTTCAATCAAACCTGTGTATAACAACCTCCCAATTTTTCAGTCAAACCTGTGAAAAATGACCACCCTAAGGTTTCAGTCAAACCTGTGCATAACAACCACCCAAGGTTTCAGTCAAACTTGTGTATAACAACCACCCAAAGTTTCTATCAAATATGTGTATAACAACCACCCAAGGTTTCGATCAAACCTGTGTATAACAACCACCCAAGGTTTCAGTCAAACCTGTGTATAACAACCATCCAAGGTTTCAATCAAACCTGTGTATAACAACCACCCAAGGTTTCAGTCAAACTTGTGTATAACAACCACCCAAAGTTTCTATCAAATATGTGTATAACAACCACATAAGGTTTAGATCAAACCTGTGTACATGTGTGACAACCACCCAAGGTTTCGATCAAACCTGTGTATAACAACCACCCAAGGTTTCAGTCAAACCTGTGTATAACGACCACCCAAGGTTTTTATTCCCTATTGTATGTTCATGTAGTGTTAGTATGGGGACTTTATACAATTTCACCTCTGTTATTAGATTTACATAATTTTTCCCTAAATTGCATTTAAATTGATCGACTGGCGACCATTTTGTTTTAACCAATGCTGTTTCAGTATTGTCTCTGAAATACATATATATTGTACCCTGAGCAAACTTCACACATACACTGTACATCATGCCATACATTCATAATCAAATTGAATTGAATTGAAGAATTGAATTGGCTGAATAGTGGTTATTTTAGTGATAAAATTTATGTAAATCATGCATTTCTGTCATTCCCCAACTGTTCCTTAGTCATGCATGGATGCATTTCATACATTTGAGATAATGGGACCTTGGACCACAGAACTTTGTCTTTCAGATCAGATTGAAATGACTGACTGGTGGTCATTTTGTGTCATTGAATACTGTTTTGGAGCCATACACTGTGTCCATGCCAGCCACAGACCATTTATTCGACCAAAGCCTCAACATTAACCCTTGGCAGATTTCACCACGATTTACTGTATGTTGCACGCTCTCAAACGATTATAAGATTCACCTCGGCTCATTTGCATCAGAACTCATGATAGAAACGACACATTACTTGGTGAATTTAAAATGGTGGAATATAGAAATGAATGCATCGTTAGCTTTTTTCCTGTGAAAAATGCTGTATGTGAGGGAAATGATGTTTTTGTTGCAATGAAGACTGGGTCAGGCAGGTCAGTATATTATTAGTTTTGACAGTTTTGTCAGTTTACTAAAACACGGCTTGCACAAATATTTAGACATTCCATCGTCTTTGTTCAATTGCCCACCATTTTCAACGTTGGAAATTTGGAAAACAAGTCAACAAAATGTGCTGAGAGGAAGCATTGGTGGTTACTGTATGCAGGGCAATGAGCTTAGAGGGGACACTGGTGTTCACTGTATACAGGGCAATGAGCTTAGAGGGAACACTGGTGTTCACTGTATATAGGGCAATGAGCTTAGAGGGAACACTGGTGTTCACTGTATATAGGGCAATGAGCTTAGAGGGAACACTGGTGTTCACTGTATACAGGGCAATGAGCTTAGAAGGAACAATGGTGGTCACTATATACAGGGCTTAGAGGAAACACTGGTGTTCACTGTATACAGGGCAATGAGCTTAGAGGGAACACTGGTGTTCACTGTATACAGGGCAATGAGCTTAGAAGGAACAATGGTGGTCACTATATACAGGGCTTAGAGGAAACACTGGTGTTCACTGTATACAGGGCAATGAGCTTAGAGGGAACACTGGTGGTCACTGTATACAGGGCAATGAGCTTAGAGGGAACACTGGTGGTCACTGTATACAGGTTTGACTGTAAGCAAAAAAAAATGCCTACTCACCTTTTCAATTTTATACAATGAGAGTCATTCGACATGAAATCTTAGTTGCCTGAATTATTGATATGTTTTGTTGTAGGGGCTTCCACATTCAGGACATCATATCAATGCGCTGGATCATGTAAGTATCAAACTCAAGTTCATCCTGAAAATAGAGTAAATTTCATCTGGAATTGTGTTAAGCCTGAATTATAGCCCCCCCTCCCCATTTTGAATTCTAGGGACAACCTGGGCCAAGAAGTGGTTTCATTAAAGATACACTATTAAATATTGTCAATTTTCTTTTCATATCTTCTTGATTCCTATCTGAATACACTGTATGCAGTTAAATACTAGGAATCAGTGATTGACATCTAGCCTGCATGTCAGGCCTTGCCTGTTGCATGATAAAACCTGTCAAAAATAAAACACTTAGGGCTGAACGATTTGTTGGTTTTATGGAGGTCTTCAATATAATTAAGTCCATGTAGAAAGAAGGACAAAAATCGTTTTCACAATAGATGAATGGATGTTGTATAATAGATTGACATTCTACAATTGCTTGTTATTTACCAGTATTCTGTCTTGAACAAATAGCGCCCTCGATTTCCCCTACAATAGGTTCATTTACTAATTTTCAGTAACAGCGCCCTCTATATCTTTTGTATGAAATTTTGTATGCTTTGAGTGGATGCCTGTTGTGTTCAAAATGGATGCTTATTTTTCATGGTATTTCTTCTTACACTGACTGCCAATAACATACATACATGTATTGTCTCAATTCATTATTATATTTTCTCCATACCCAATTTCGGAACCTGTTCCCTGATTTCTGACACAATTCTGTAAATGATCAAATTAGGCATTCTTTAGATGTTCTTTATGTGTTTCTTCTGAAGTTGATTTTCACTGCTAGGTATTCGTAACTGTTGGTGTTTTGGTGAAATCTACTTTTCTTCAAATTTGCTTCAACTCCCTGTCTTTAGGACCTCAGTCACGTTTTCACCTCTATAAATTTTTACTTTCAGTGAATCACAAAATTCCTGAAATGTGGTTGTCAAAAACACAGAATGTATCTAGGATTTCGTTGACATATCATTATAATGAATTTTTTGATGGAGGTGTAAAAAACACCAAGTGAATTTGTCGCTGTTATAATATTTGTTCCTGACTAGCTAATACTATAAAACCATGTATTTTCACGGATGTCCTAATTTCACTATTTAGATGTTTTGAGCAGGGTTTTAATTCCCGAACTTGGCAGGAATACAGTGAGTTTAATATGTTGTTATTCTACAAGTTCACATGGATTTAATCTAGCAAATTTCACTTATCAATGGAAAAAAAATGTGTTCTTTTATTATATATTGACTATACTGTACTTCGGCTCAGATTAGAATTGCTTCAGGAACATGATCTGTTGCCATCACATGTTGTAGCTTGACACAAATTATTATAAATATGTCAAAAGATAATTGTCCACAAAATGAATTCTTGTTGAAATGAAGTTTAATATAACGTGGGTGTGTATTGCAAATAATAATGTGACTAGGGAGCTCTTGTATAGCCCCCTAGGCTACAATTAATCATGTTGAGTGCCTTTTACTCATAAAATAATTTCATAACAGAATTTGTTGTCCATCCATCACCATATAGCCAATGTAAGTCTTTTTTTTTCTATTTTGATGGTTTCATTTCAAATTACCGATATGGTGTTTCTATTGAATTGCTGTGGTTTTCAGTTTAGAGAGAACATTGGTTTACCATTGCGTTTGGTTAAACATACAGAGAAATTGTTTATTTGTTTCAAATTACTGTAAAAGTATATATTTTAACTGCCATTTAATATCACTATTTTTATATACTGGTATTAAATGCATATTCACTGGGTTTTAAGTTGTAGTTTGACATTTTCATGTGAATTTAGTGGACTTTACTTGTCAGCAAAAATAGAGAAATTAAAACCCAGCAAATATTTAATGCATTTACAGTACTTATATTGCTTGTGAGAGAGATTCCTTCAACTTATATAAATTACACGGCAGATTTATTAACTGTCATATTTTTCATATATATCTTGTAATATTAATTTTAATAATAATTCTTACTGTACTTGAATGACAGTGGTTGATTTTTCAACAAGGTGAAATATACAGTGTATACTGTCATATTTAAATTATCCCTTTTCACCTTGCATCACTCTCAGATAGAATCATACAATGCCCTTATTGAAGCGTATGAATAATCTATTCAATGTTTGCTTAACTAAATACTATGTTCATTTTTAATCAATATTTCTGAGTCAGTTTATAATTGACAAATTTTGACAGATGTTTTTTGGTTAATATTGGGTTCATTATATTCAGTGGCTATGCGTTTGGAAAGCTGTTGTTTTATGAACAATGTGCTTTTAAAAATTATAAATAAGTAAATAAATAATCCCCTACTTATAAATTTCTTTTGTTGTTAGAATTTTGTTACTCATTCTTCTGCCCAACATTTTGACATTCACTCATGACTGATTCTTTCATTTGTTTTCAATTCGTATTGCTTGGAGTCTTTGATTGAAATACTGAGAATAAGAAATAAGTTCTGGTCTGCTTGTATCGTGAAATATGATTATTATTGATAATAGTGTGGAAAAGGTTAATCAGGAATGTTGTCCCAGTGATGACTGGAAAATTAATGGTGTATGACTTCAATATGCATTTTTATTTTATTTAATACCCTGTGACCAAATTCACTAAAATGATGTCTAGATATTTCAGGGTTTCACTGTATTTGATGAATCTTGATTTTTTTCTGATTTTGGTAGGTTTACACATTATTAATTGCAGCATAATGTGATGACTGATGATTTAATGTTTTCATTGATGTAGTAGATTCAGTATATAATGAATACTAATTTGAAGTGTCACAGTCATGCTCCTTCGTGTTCCAGACAACCTCCTAGGTAGTGTTCCATTAGATGTCTTCGGCAGTGTCCCAGACGCCGTCCTAGGCGTTGTCCTAGGCATCGTCACAGCCGATGTCTTAGGTCGTGTTCCAATCGACATCCTATGCAGTGTCCCAGCCGATGTCTTAAGCGGCCTCCCAAGCAACGATCTAGGCGGTGTCCTAGTCGATGTCTTAGGCGGTGTTCAAAGCGACGTGCTATGCAGTGTCCCAGCCGGTGTCTTAGGCAGTGTTCAAAGCGACGTGCTATGCAGTGTCCCAGCTGATGTCTTAGGTGGTGTCCAAATCGACGTGCTAAGCAGTGTCCCAGTTGATGTCTTAGGCGGTGTCCAAAGCGACGTGCTATGCAGTGTCCCAGCCGATGTCTCAGGCGGTCTCCCAAGCAACGATCTAGGCGGTGTCCTAGCCGATGTTTTAGGCGGTGTTCAAAGCGACGTGCTATGCAGTGTCCCAGCCGATGTCTTAAGCCGTCTCCCAAGCAACGATCTAGGCGGTGTCCTAGCCGATGTCTTAGGTGGTGTTAAAAGCGACGTGCTATGCAGTGTCCCAGCCGATGTCTTAGGCGATGTCCAAAGCGACGTGCTATGCAGTGTTCTAGCCGATGTCTTAGGTGGTGTCCCAAGCAACGATCTAGGCGGTGTCCTAGCCGATGTTTTAGGCGGTGTCCAAAGTGACGTGCTATGCAGTGTCCCAGCCGATGTCTTAAGCCGTCTCCCAAGCAACGATCTAGGCGGTGTCCTAGCCGATGTCTTAGGCGATGTTCAAAATGACATGCTATGCAGTGTCCTAGCCGATGTCTTTAATAGGCGGTGTCCAAAGCAATGTGCTATGCAGTGTCCCAGCCGATGTCTTAGGTGGTGTCCCAAGCAACGATCTAGGCGGTGTCCTAGCTGATGTTAGGTGGGGTTCAAAGCGACGTGCAATGCAGTGTCCCAGCCGATGTCTTAAGCTATCTCCCAAGCAACGATCTAGGCGGTGTTCTAGCCGATGTCTTAGGCCATGTCCAAAGCGACGTGCTATGCAGTGTCCTAGCCGATGTCTTAGGCGGTCTCCCAAGCAACGATCTAGGCGGTGTCCTAGCCGATGTCTTAGGCGATGTTCAAAGCGAAGTGCTATGCAGTGTCCCAGCCGATGTCTTAGGCCGTCTCCCAAGCAACGATCTAGGCGGTGTCCTAGCCGTTGTCTTAGGCCGTGTTCTAAGCGACGTGCTATGCAGTGTCCCAGCCGATGTCTTAAGCTGAAGTATTGATCAATAGAAAATTATTTCCATTTGGTCCTAAATTATCAAAAACAATATTGAACAAATCGTGAAATTTTGTAGCAGGCAAAATTATCCTGGGGTTGTACCACACAAAACTTTGTCTTCAAGAATGCCATCAAATTATGTAATTGCAACAATTACTAGTAGCAAAAAATAAGCACAGAATTCTAACTGTGGCTCTAACATGTATATGGTAGCATTTCAAATATTCTAAATATTGATGATTTTATACAAATATTTACTGTGTTTGATGAGATGCCAAATAAGGCATTGTTTATTACCTGCTTTGCAAAACTACACTCTCAGATATTACTGAATCACATTCTACCGATTTACAGCATTGTTAGAATTTGTTATGGTATAAACTATATTCGCAAATGACAAATATTCATGAAATTTTGCAAAATTTGAACTTAGAATTGTGCAAAACTACATGTACATTCTCACAAATTACAGAATTGCAAACTTTCTAGCTATTCACAGCATGCATTATTGTGTGTGGCATGTAATTGTACTCCTTGATAATACAATGCATTTAATATTGCAAGTTGTATCATAATTTATTTCATTATTTGTCAAAATAAAAAGACACCCATGAGGGGAATGTGTCATTACCTTATATAGTCGTGCCACATGACAAGGCATCTAATAATCTAATTAATATCAGTGAGTGGCTATGTACAGCAGTTTGAATTAATTTTACAAAGTGAATTGAATCTGTAATCCACATAATGAAATGAGGTGGAAGATTTTTTGAGATGCTTGTCAATATATATAAAAAAAAAAAATAATTGGAATGGTTGGAAATAACAATTTCCAAAAATAAATGTTGATATAGTTGATTCATATAATTATCTTTATATTATTCCCTGAGGTCAACATTAAGTTTATTGGGGTCATTTGACTATTATGTGAACAATTTTATGCTAATTTTCCAGTAAATACCTACTCCATTACTTTGATCCTTGGTATGTTAGTACTTTGGGTGACCTTATCCTCCATTGAATATTTGTGATAATTTTTGGTAAAAAATGCTTTTTTTGTCTTCTTCTTGAAAACTACCTGCTCAATTATTTTGATTCCTGGTACCTGTGGTTTACCTTTGTTAAATTTGTTCATTTTGTGACGATATCTTCAAATTCTCAATTTTTAGCGAATATTTTTGTAATTTTTGGTAAAAAATGCTATTGTTTGACTTATTTTTGAAGACTATCAGCTCAATTGCATTGATGATATGTAGGCTTCATGGGTTGACCTCCGTGACATTTAGAACAAGATAATTTCCCAAATATATCAATAACCAAATAAACTACCATGGTTGTGTAGGAACACAAGTAAACATGACATATATATATTACATAACATCTCGTCGTAAAGAACATTATCAACTATGTTTTGAAGAAAACACTTTGCAAAGAAAGTGGAGCTATTTTCATCATTAAGTTATTTGTTTATGTATTTTTTTTTTAAATGGGGCCCAAATGGACGTCATTGACTCCTGTGTGCGAAGCATAATGGGAGGTGTTAGGATTACTCTGTCTGTATGTATGTATGTTGTTTCCTCAGGACGTGCCTACATCGAGCTCCGCAAAAACTGCTATTTTTTACCTTGGTTCAAGATAAGTGCTCACTAGTTTTGATTTTATATCCTTTGTAAATAGTTTATAGTGCTACTTGGTGTCTTTTTGGCCGTTTTTGGCATAAATCTGCCGTGTTTCTGTTGGTTTTTAGTTTTTGTGTTTTGTGTCACTCACCAGGGGCTTGCCAAGATGGCCGCCGCCTTGGCGAGTGCACGTGTCAATCCCTTTGTTGGGTTGACACGTAAGCATGGTGTCAAGTGTGTGTCACTTGACGGAGTTAAAATTGAGACCTATGTTGAAAGTTTTTCTGGATTGGTTGGCCCTGAAAATGTAGTGGCTGCCTCTTGTGCAAATGGTAGCGTTGTGTTTTTTAACTCGCATGACTGTGCGGAGTCTGTTTGTGTAACTGGGTGCAGCATTGAGAACCAGTTCCTTACTGTTCAACCACTGGTTAAACCTGCCACAAAAGTCGTGTTATCTGGTGTTCCTCCTTTCATACCAGACT